GATGTTGAGTCATTTAAGGGCACTTACGGAGCTGGTACGAATACTACACCATACGTGCCACTAGTCCACAAGTTGAGCAATACCAACATTCATAAAAAAATGCATGGTATGATTTTTGTACTATTATTGTGCCACTAGTCCATCTTAAATAAACTACACTGCTTACTATGTTACTATGTTGATCTTCAAGAGAAGCTCCCAAGAGTAGTTGTGCCTGCAACGATGGATGCCAAAGGTGAGATGACAATTATTTGCCATTAGAAGACCAATTTCAAAGGCACCTACTCGACTGCAAACCCATGAGATGGACGCCTCAAAATTGATGAATCGCAGCAAATATTGAATGAGTGCAGATCAGAAATTGGAGATCAGTGGATCTCTGTGCTCCACCACAGAGATGCAGGGGCATTCTTATTCTTTTCAATTTATCCTAAAAGAGACGAGTAGCTCCTAGTCCTTTGTCATTATCAGGACTAGTTAACTGGTGGGTGTTTGTATAGTCAGTTGTGTTTTGCGTACTATGTGTTGGTTGCTACCAAGCTACGAATATTTAGTTGGGGCATTTGTAGTCAGGATTGATAATGATTAGAACAAATGTTTAATGTATTCAACAATATTTCGTCCTCTCTTATTATTATTAATGTATTCTAATATGTGTTGTATGAAAAATGTAACCATGCCAGCATAAATGTTGTCGTCGTTGTGAAAATATAAATTTGTGTGACTGACACTCAGTGGTTGGCGCTAGAAAAGCCCGCCACAGATGGTTGGCGCTAGAAAAGCCCGCCACAGATACCAACCCAACCGGTGGCGGGCAGCAGCGCGCCCGCACTGCCGAGTATCTACTGGTGGCGGGCGAGAGCTCGCCATTGATGCGGTTATAGCAATGGCGAAAGGTCGGTGGCAGGCGGGTTTGGGAGCCTGGCCCATCCCTGCTGGCCTTTTTGCACCCGCCATTGCTAGGCATTCCTGCAGTAGTGTTTGTATGATTTTCACCGATATGTGCAACTCAAGGTGCTGTCTTAGAAAACATCTGACTACGACCATCACCCAAACCAACCCTGGTGATGCCACTAACGGGACCAAGACGATTCCCCCAATGTGGGGACCCCATCGAATGAGCTTGCAGATTTGCTAACATAGCATTTCTAAACCGAATAGTGAAGTTGATGAGGATCTGGGGCTGTGGGTAATCTAGCAGTAGTGGTGGAGCTGTTCCGGCACCGAACAAACGCGGATGAGCGGCATCTAACCTTGGAAGAGCAAGACGCTTTAGGGCTGGAGCATCGAAACGAGAGTTATATGTCCGCTTTTAACACGTAACTTGTCCAGCTCAGTTGCACGTCAACTCTTCACATGTAATTCATCCTGATTTTAGTTGCATGCGCATCTACTACTCACTTTCCCTTAAGTGGATGATCTTAATGTTTATTGATTTTTGGAAAGTAGAGGATATCATTAAGAATACAAAACAACCATGTTGAAGCGTTGACCTTTTGCATTTTCTGTTAAAAAATATTCTATTGATTTTCATGATACCTATAGAAAAAATCATTTGTTCTAGTGTTCTGAATTTTGAAGTTTGTTTTATTTCTATTTCTTGCAAACTTCTACAAACTTAATATTATTTTAGTATTCTATCATTCTCTCTCTCTATCTCTCTCTCCCTCCCATGGCTTAAAGTAAATCTATTTTTTATCTTTTATTTTTAACATTCATCACACTAATTTGCCCTATCACCTCCAAAACAAGATAAATTACGCTCAACATTCAAAATCGCACATATTACCACTTTTTTGTGATTACGTCGAGGCAGATTACTCTAACGGGGTAGCAGTTCTCCTAAATACTCTAGTGTGGCAGAGATTTACCTACATATAGCAGTCTAATTATAGCATCAAAATGAAGAAACATGAGAAACAAACAATTTTGAGTTTGTAAAAATTTAAAATATTTTGAAATTGTTGAAAAATAGAGGATATCATTAATACTACAAAACAACCACGTCGAAACATTGACCATTTTTCATTTTCTATTAAAAATATTCTATTAATTTTCATTCTTTATATACAATATATTTTTCCTTCTTTCTAGTTTTCTGAATTTTCACATTTTCAATATTTTTATTTTGCTACGCAAACTTCTGCAAAATTAATATCGTTTGAGGATTCTATTGTTTCTAACTTTTTGAAAATTGTCTTGTTTTGGCATGGATTTATATGTTTTCAGCTCCATAAAATGAGTCTTTACATACTTGACATATCATTTGTTGCTCCCATTGTTAATGTATGTATCCACATATTGCATGTTAACATCAGGCCTTTGGTTTTTCTTACACGATGGGTAGACATTGATAGCTGCCTCTATGAGAGTCTATTTAAAACAATATCATTTATCATATTTAGTACTTAAGATTAATAATAAATCCTCAATATGTTTGTTCTAAATATTTGTAATTTATACCCAAAATAATGATGATAATAAATTTCCTAAATCTACTCGATCTGCATCTTTGCAATCTATATCCACAATAACTGATGGAAATAAAATTCTTAGATCTGTTTGATTTACATACTCGTAATACGTAGCACAATAACTAGTAGCAATAAAATTCTAGAATTTGCTTGATCTACATATTTGTAATATGTATGGCGATAGCTGGTCCCAATAAAATTCCAATATCTACTCAATCTCCATTTATGTAGTGTATAGCACAATAAATGACAGAAAATATCTTAACTTTGCTCGATCCATATAGTTGTAATCTATACCCACAACAATTGAAGGCTAAATCTAGCTTCATAGTTTTGACTCAACGTCGATTGATGAAGTTGCCTATGAGGCAAAAATAACATTGACAATGTAATACGTGAGGCATCTCGATGTTGGAAGTCGTAGGTTGACTGGTTCATGGGCATCCAGAAAAATATAACAACATCACTTCCATAATTAAAAAGAAAATTAAGTATTTTCACTACTTTAACTCACTTCGAGTCTAATTTGGCCACTCGCCTCTAAAACTGGAGAAATTATACCCAATGCCCAAAATCACACAAATTAATTATAGTATCGTGCCAAAGTGGTTTTCGATGATGTTAGAGTAGTTTTCTTACATATGGTAGTCTAACTGGCACATAGGGAAAAATAAACATATAATTAGATATTTTAAAAAATTAAATATAGAAGACTATGAAGTTTGAGGATATCACGCCAAATAAAAACAATAATGTTGAATTTTATCAATTTCTATAATATTTTTCATTCCATGGATATTCTTGATTTATGTAGAATATATTTCCATTTTTTAATGTTTAATATTTTGATTACTTTTCATCTTCCTTACAAATTTATACACTATCAATATTTGTTTGTAAACTTTCGGATTTTATTTTCTAAACTTAGAGTTTACTAATTACTTGTTAACTATGTCACATATTCTTACACATATACAAAAGATGACACCATGTCACTAAAAGGATTAAACAATTTTGGATTAATACTGTTTGGGATTTTCTAGTTTGTATACTTGGGGAGTGAAAGGGAGGTTATTTGTCGGTGTACCATTGAGACGTGTGTTCAATACTTCAACAATAATTCACGGGTGAAAACATATTTTGTTCAAATGTGAGCTACTCTATGTTCATTTCGCGGTTTGTGGATTGTTGTATCCATAACTGATGTATAATCCTTCATGGAAATAGTCCTGCAAGAAAGAAGAAATTGCCTGTCTATTGTTTGAAATGCAAACACTCGTTGAAAAGGGTGAATTTTCATTATCACGGTTGTGTTGAAGTTATAAAGTGCTTGTAAAATAGGAGGGATAGTTGGAGCCGATATTTTAAACTTCGGGGTTGTGAAGCTGGTAGTTGGGCAATGCATTGAAAACAACTCTTTGATTTATTGTGCGGGATACAATTTTTTTTTATTGCTTGTAGTTCCAATCATATTGGCGCATTACACATCTCCGATTTCTCCTTCATTATCGATGGGAAGAGAGGCGTTGAATATGTCGTCACATGTTTCGTCCGGGATGGTATGAAGTGGTCCAAAAAGAGGATAATGGCCGAGTAAGATGTCGGTGTTTGTCGTGACGCGCAATAAGGAACCACGTGTAGGTTACATTTGACATATACGTGAGATTCATGTTTGCACTTGTGTTTACCTCTTGTAGAAACACTCAATGACCAATATCTCTTTAGATATATTGTCCTTGTTTTTCCTCTTTTCTCTTATCAAACCAGAGAGCACATTATCTTTTTTTTGCATGGTAATGCGTGTCTCATTCATATCATAAAGAACAGAGTACAAGTCACGTAAGGACTGACATGACAAAACTGAAAAGATAGCAGAATATCTCTGAGCTTGACACCAACGCCCGTCACCTGCCTCTGGCACCACCACAACATCCTCCAAAAAAAGGAATGACGGATCACCTCCTCACCCACATTATCTGATTGTGGTGGCAACTCTTTGATTTAGGATACAGTTTGGCCTCTTCCGTACTTTTTTAATTTTCTTAGGTAGTTTTGCATATTATACATGTTACAGTCGTCCGTCAAATTTGTGTTTTTCATGATTTTGTTTATTTATTAATGTAATTTTTCAGTTTTACATATCAGAAATGCATTACATATATCGATACATAAAATCGTCATGCAGCAGCAGCAACAGTCTGTCATGATGTGTTGCTCTGCGCCCTCCAGACCTCCGCGGCCATCCATTCAGGTGTAAAACCAAATTAATCCCAGCTCAGGTATGAGCTAAGCATTGAAGGCTAGCTAGTAAAACGGAACCAAAGAAGCTGCGGTCTCGGCCATCCTTAGCTCAAACGTTTTGGCTGGTTGCTATTTGAGGACTGAAATGAAGAAGGAAATAACAGAGGAGTAGGTGAGGGGCACCCAGCCCCTTGTGCTATTTAACTGCCAGCAACCAAGATCCTCAGGCACACCAGAACCTCAGGCACCCACTCGCAAACCTCAGTTCCGTTCCGTTGACACAATATGTTCCCCATGGCCGCAGATCCAGCGGCGCCCGTCTCTGGCGTTGGCATCAAGCGCTCGGCGCTGAGCCACGACCACGAGGAGCGGCCCAGCGGCCGGAGCAAGGGGCCGTCGTCGCATCAGGCGAACAAGAGCACCGGCAAGGCAAAGGTAGTAGCCGACGCTCAAGACCACGGCAGCGACGGCGATAACGAGCGGAAGCGGCGCAGGCATCTCGCCATCGACATCAATAAGGTGCCCCATCACGACGACGACGACCTCGACAACCCTCTTCCCGCCACCGCCGGCGGCGTTAGCTGCTCGCCGCCGCAGCAGCATCCGCACCGAGCGCTCTCGCTCGACAGCAAGAAGCGGGAGCTGGAGATTAAGAAGCGGGAGATCGAGATCGAAGACGCGATGCTGGAGCTGGAGCGGGAGCGCGTGCAGTGGGCTGAGGCGAATCTGAGGGAGGAGATGGAGCTGAAGAACATGCGGCTGGAGAATGACAGGATGCGGCTGGAGAACCACCGGCTCCTGGTGAAGGTCAAGCGCAAGGAACTGGAGCTCGGCGTCGTCAGATCCAAGAGGATCTAGGGCGCGTGCATGCATGCATGCATGTGTGCTAGCGCTGGGGTGTTGGAGGAGATGAAACAGAAGGAGAAACAAATAAGAGGTCATGTAACGTAGAGTGGGTTTCAGAAAAGAAAACATGCCTTCATTGTGCACCTTTTTCTATTTTGCTCCATGTAGGGGAGGAGAAGAAACAGAAGGAGAAACAAAATACAAATCGTTTTATGGTGACTTGTTACATGAGATTAAGTTGAGTTTGTTCCAATTAAGATAGCCCGGTCACAAAATAGGGTTTCTCACTGTCTTGCTAATTATGCTTGCACGCTCGCAGTTCGCTTGTTGGTTACATCGAGGTCCACCTTTTATTCTAGATCTTGTATGGGCAGACTGTAACTCTATTGCTTTGGAATAAACTCTCTTACACCCACACAAAATAAGTGCACTTTTTTTTACTGAAAATGTTCACCTATTTTGGTTTTTGACATGCCTTCATGTGTGCTTGTCTCTCTTTTGCCATTGTTGGCAAATCCATCCTTCTCCCCAATTTCCTACCATCCTCGTTGCTTAATCTCCTCTCCCCCATTGCTTGACCATACTAAGATGAGGCAATTGATGCATCTCAATACTTGTGGTAGCCAGAGGCACAGCCTGCCACAAGGTGGGTTTGTCGTTGCTGAATTGTGTGTATGGGGCTGTTTGGATCATGCTCGATGGTTGTCAGGCCAAAATTTTGGCGTTGACTCGTGGCATAGGTATCGTTTGGATTGAAGCCCAATGATCGGAGCCATGCCAAAAAGAATTTGGTCGTTGTGTTCAATTATGCGCCCACACACGGGTGAAATAGGGGCAGGCGAAACGTTCGCCAGAATATTGGCACGCCTCTGATTTGACAAGGCAGACGCGGGCATCAACCAAACGGCCCCTATGTCTCCCACCGCTTCATTATCCATGGTTTGAGAGGCATTGAATGCACGTCATCCTTTTCCTTCGAGATAGTGTAAAGTGGTCAAAGAAAAGGAGGAAGGCAGAGTAACATGTCGGTGTTTGTCGTGACGCGCAATCATAAACCGCACACACGTCACATACCTGACGCGTGGCTGCACGTCATTGTCGGTGTCAAAACCAGTGGATTTCGGGTAGGGGGTCCCGAACTGTGCGTCTAGGCCGGATGGTAACAGGAGGCAAGGGACACGAAGTTTTACCCAGGTTCGGGCCCTCTCGATGGAGGTAAAACCCTACGTCCTGCTTGATTAATATTGATGCTATGGGTAGTACAAGAGTAGATCTACCACAAGATCAGATAGGCTAAACCCTAGAAGCTAGCCTATGGTATGATTGTTGATGTGTATATTGTCCTATGGACTAAAACCCTCCGGTTTATATAGACACCGGATAGGGTTAGGGTTACATAGAGTCGGTTACAATGGTAGGAGATCTTCATATTCGTATCGCCAAGCTTGCCTTCCACGCCAAGGAAAGTCCCTTCCGGACATGGGACAGAGTCTTCAATCTTGCATCTTCATAGTACAGGAGTCCGGCTGAAGGTATAGTTCGGCTATCCGAACACCCCCTAATCCAGGACTCCCTCAGTAGCCCCTGAACCAGGCTTCAATGACGACGAGTCCGGCGCGCAGTTTGTCTTCGGCATTGCAAGGCGGGTTCCTCCTCCAAGTACTTCATAGAAGATTTTGAACACAAAGATAGTGTCCGGCTCTGCAAAATAAGTTTCCACATATTGCCATAGAGAGAATAATATTTACACAAATCTAATATGCTGACGTATTCCGTAGCGTGACACACCACGGCCAAGCCTTTATCCGAGTCGTTTCAGTATCCCACCTCAGCGCGTTATGCGAGGCGATTTCCTTGGCACGTCTTGTCAAAGCAGAGATCGTGTCCCCTTATTCCAGGATTCTCATCAATACGGGCGTGTGTAACCCGACCGCTTCTAGGACTCTTAGATCATAGGCAAGTCCAAATGGACACGGAGAGGACGCTCGATATCCACCCTCTTTATAAAGGGACGAGGCCTTTTATTTTTCCCTCCCGTGCTCAATCGAATCCTTCCCCCACCTCAAGCTCAAACGCCCAAAGTTCAGGTCAGGTGCTCCGAACCTTCAGTCATGTCCGGATCTAGCCTTCAAGGCCGATGGATGCCTTCTTCCGTCACGGAAGAAGACGTCAAAAAGTTGAGGGATATCTGACCGCCGAGATTCTGCATCGGCTGCCTCCCCGGGGGCAGGCCGTCCCCTCCCCCGAACCCAACGAGAGCGTCGTGTTCGTCTCCCACTTCCTCCGAGGTCTAGGCCTTGCATTGGATCCTTTTGTCAGGGGCTTGATGTTTTACTACGGGCTAGATTTCCATGATCTAGCTCCGGACTCCTTTCTTCATATCACGACATTTATTGTTGTGTACGAGGCCTTCCTCCGGGTTACCCCTCACTTTGGCCTATGGCTCAAGACCTTTGAAGTAAAACCGAGGATGATCGAGGGGCAACATGCGGAGTGTGGAGGCGCCTCAATACACAAGATGACGGGAGCCGCATGGCCCAAAGGTTCCATTCCAGAGGTGTCTGAATTGTGGCAACAGGAGTGGTTCTACATCACGTCTCCTAGAAGTGCCAAGTGGGCGGCCGCCCCTGTCTTCCGCCCAGGCCCTCCACCACCGTTGATGTCATGGATTAGCAGAGGATTGAGCTGGGGTCCGACCAAGGACGTGCCTATACTGCAAAGCCGCATTCAAGATCTCTTTAATGGAGATTTCAGTTTGGTCGCGGTAACACGAGTTATGCTGGTTCGTCAAGTCCGGCCTTGCAAATGTCGGCCTCTTCGCTTGTGGGAGTTCAATCCCGAGGGACCGCGCGCCATTCGAAATTTCATCGGCCTGACGCACGAGGAGATGTACAAGTTGTTCTTCGGACCTCAAGTGGAGTGTCCGGAAATTACCGAGGACGTGGGCCTGAGTAGCAACCGTGCCGCCGAGCAGGTAAGGCATCTTCCGACCGAGTGTACTACCTCTCCTTTGATGCGAAGTTATTTCTGAGAGTTCGCTTTTTGACCAGGACTGGCTAACGAAGGCGAAGTTTATTCAGTGCTCGGCCCCCCTCCCTGAGGGTTTGGAAAATCCGATATTGGAAAAGATGCTCCAGACCGCACCTTGCCCGGAGCCCTTGAAGGAAAATGCGGGCGGTCGCGGGCCCCAAACGCTGGCCGCTCCAGCCGAGGGAGCGAGCGTCTTCACGAAGGAAGACGAACAGAAGAGGAAAAGGATTGCGTCTGGGGATTCGGAAGCCGAAGCTTCGAAACGGGAGAAGAATTCTCCCACAGAGGGTCCTACCCCGGGGGGTGCGGTTGCCGCACAAAGTCCTTAGGGGGATCAATTCTCCCACGAGTCGTAAGTGACCCAAAATACCTTAATAGTACAAATATGTCGTCATTTCTTCCACTACTAGGAAAAGGGCTATAGATGGAATTGACACTAATGGCGCACCAGACATGTGGTGCGCCATTACTATATACTAATGGCGCACCATGTGTTGGTGCGCCATTAGTTTCCAAATACTAATGGCGCACCACATCCACGATGCGCCATTAGTAACTTGGCCACCACTTCCACCGAATGCACCCCCCACCCCCGTGGACCGCCTTTTCAGTTTAAAAAAATAAAAAAATGATGGAAATGTCAAAAAAATAAAAAAAAAAGTTTCCCATGTGATATGTGGTCTAGTTGTTGTGAAAATTTACAAATATGAATTTCGACTTTATTTGCGAAATCTCTCGAGAATTTGTAAAATGGGCATAACTTTTGTGTACGAACTCGGATGAAAAAGTTTTTTATATGAAAAATCGTCTACTCGAAAAGTTACATCCGAATTTAACGGGGGGAACCCTGTTAAACATTTTCAAAATCCTCAAAAACCTAACAGAAAAAAGATACGGGGCTTTTAAGATCTGGAGAGGCAAAAAATTCAAAAAAATTCAAACTTACTAATGGCGCACCTACCCATGGTGCGCCATTACTATCTTCCCGCCTTCAAAATTCAAAATAAGTCAAAAAAATAAAAAAAAATTACTAATGGCGCACCTGCCCATGGTGCGCCATTAGTATCTTCCCGCCTTCAAAATTCAAAATAAATCAAAAAAATAAAAAAAAAGTTAGTAATGGCGCACCTGCCTGCGGTGCGCCATTACTATGCCGTATATATGGTTCGGCGTGGTCCTCTCCTCCTTACCTCTTCATTCTTCTCCTCCACTCCACCTCTCCTCCACTCCATCTCCTCCTCTCCTCCACTCCATCTTCCCTCCTCTCCTCCACCATACTACCCTCCTCCTCTCCAGCGGCCTCCTCCTCCTCTCCGGCGACCTCCTCCTCCCTCCTCTCCTCCCCTCCCCTCCCCTCACGGTTTCTCCTCCCTCCTCTCCGGTGAGCTCCTCCTCCCTCCTCTCTGGCGAACTCCTCCTCCTCTCTGGCGAACTCCTCCTCCTCCTCCTCTCCGCCGAACTCCTCTCCGCGAACTCCTCTCCGGCAAAAGAACACGGCAAAAGAACGTACAAGATCCAAAAATAGGAACAAAATTTGAAAAAATATCGTGCCAAAAAACGAGCAAAAAATGGGCAAAAAAATCACGATCCAGATCCAAATTCAAAATTCAAAAATAGCAATGGCGCACGGTGGGGGTTAGACGGTGCGCCATTACTATTTTCCCGCCTTCAAAATTCAAAAATACTAATGGCGCACCAGTGGCCTATACTAATGGCGCACCAGTGGCCTATACTAATGGCGCACCGTGGCCTATACTAATGGCGCACCAGTGGTGCGCCATTAGTAAAAAATACTAGTGGCGTGATACTAATGGCGCACCAGTGATGCGCCATTAGTAGGCAAAACTGGTGCGCCATTAGTAGCCCTTTTTCTAGTAGTGTCACGACGCTCACTACCCATCTGAATTCTTTGTTGAAAACCTAGAGTATCTACCTCGCACCATTTATCATATCATCAGAAAAACTCTATGGCCCATCAAAGG